TTTCTATTTTTTTTTTGTTTCTCTGAAATTAAATTTCTATTTAAAAAATTTAATAGCAGCATGAATCCTAAACCTTATAAAATAATTAATTAAATATTCTTTATTAAACAGTGGACACGGATGTCGAAATACAACATTAGTCATGCTTAGCTTTAACTTAATACCTACTTCATTCTCAATAGCTATTTGTGGAAACCTATTTATAAAAATGTTTTCTAACTCATCTATATAATTGTAAAATTCATGTTGTGGCATCATTAAATTTCCATACATAGACTTTTCTGAATTTTCATATGCTTTGAAATAACAAAGTAAGAAAGACTCATCCAATTTGTTTTGTGATTTTGCATAATGAATACAAACTTCGCAACTATGTTTTTCTATACATTTTTTCATTAAAAACCCACAAACATATGTAAAAGCATTTTTCTCGGGTATAGATAAATTTCTATAATCTGGGGTATCTATTGTAAGTGTATTTTTTTTAAATTTAAATGGATTTTTATCTTGAAATATTATTTTTATGGTTTCGTCATTAAAAGTATCAGTCTTTATTTTAGATAAAATTTCATCAAAGTCTGCTATACAATTTGCATTCTCTGAAGTAGTAAAATAATTAAGACAAAAATTTTGTTTAAATGACCAGATGAATTGTATGGGAGTTGGATTAATATTATTTCCATTATGTTGGGTGCGAAATGTGCCAAATAAATTTTCCAACCTATCTTGGTTAATTCGGTTTGTATACAAAACATAATTTTCATCAGTATTAATAACTTTTAGTGACTCCCACAAATGAAATAAACCAGAGATTGAAATTACTTGATAGGCCTATGAAATTGGAACCCATATCACTAACAAATGCTTTAACATTAATTTTAATATTTTCAAGTTTTAAAATACTGGTTAAAATTATGTCCTGCAAATCAAAACCTGTACAACTGTTCGAAACAAAGAAATAAGCAATTGGTTGCTTCCAATTAAAATTTATGCCTTGAATCATTAATACAAGTACAAATTTAGCTGGATCATACGTTTTGCGATTGTTTGTTTCATTAAATCCTATTATTTCATCCTTACTTATGTTATAAAATAAATTACTTTTTATGGACATTTCATCCGCACACAACACACATTCTAATGATTCAGGTAAAAAATGTTGTATTTTAAATTGTAAAAAATTAAACAATAAATCATTAAGACCAGGAGTTATTTCATAATTTTTTGTTACACGTCTTAGTGTACATGGATTAGGCAGGGCAAGAGTTGATTGCAAAAACTTATACACCCTTGGTCCCAAAAAAATAAATGGTAAGAGCTAATTGTTTAAATTCATTACTATACCTATACCCAACTGCTTTTGTATCTCTACGATTAACATGCGTATTAATAATTAAAAACAAACTAGGAGGTAAAAACTTCTTACATAGCGTTAACATTTGTTCAACAGTATTTACTTGTACTAATTGTTGAGTTATGGCATTAATTTGTTTTTTCATTTCTTTAATTTTTTTGTTTTTGGACTGAAGTTCGTTTTGTAGTTTCAATTTTCTTGGAGTTTTGTTAGTTAGATAAAGTGGAGTTTGGCAGGATGAATCACTAGTAGATACTTGCAGCTTACTAGAAACGGAAGAGCAACTAGACACATCACTGACATTTGTATATACATTATCCGGGACATTATCACTGTAAGATAATGAATGTGATGGACTGGAACATGAAGCCATTGCAACCTGAGTTTCGAATTCTTGCATTTCCCTTTCTTCTCCAATTTCTTTTTCCTTTTCTTCTATCAATTTCTTTTCTTTTTCTCTCTCATACAATATTTCAGCTATAAATTATATTTTTGTTTTAATATTAAAGTAGTTCATTAATTTGCATGGCATTAGTAGATGCATTGAAAAAAATCATAACATTTATTAATAGTAAAATACATTTTATTTAATTAAATTAAATTAAAATAATTTTACAATTATTTGCAGTTAAAACTAAACTAAAAAAAAAAATCTAACTAGCTAACTTTACAAGAAGAAAAAAAAATGTATAATAATTTCATCAATCACTTTGTTGAGTAGAATTTTGGTAGCTGAACTATCCATATGCATCTCTCAGCCGTGTAGCCACAGAAAAAGCAAAAGCAAAAGCAAAAGCAAATTAGAATAATTTTCACGGAGTAATAAAAATATTAATTTTAGTAAACAAAATCTTACCACTAAATATTGTTGGCACGGCATTCATTGTAAGACGGTTCCTGCTACTTGGATTTAAAAACATATTGTCTTCAAAATGAACACCACACACTCTGTAATTTTTGTATAAAATAGCAGGATCTTTTTTTAACAAATTTACAGTGTGACAATTTTCCATCCATTGTTTACACCTAAAGTAAATTAGTAATACATTAAATTATAATGCATATACATGAAAATTATAAAACAAATTCAATCACTCACCTCAATTGGTCGCTTGGAAATCTGAAGTAGCTAATGTTTTTTGTTTGTGACATTTTATTGTTGCAAAATTTGACTGCACAAATAGTCATTTTTATAGTATTAGATTGTGTACAATTTTATGAAACAAATTTGACAATATAAATACTATAAAAAAGGTTTTTTTACGAAATAAATGACTACTGCAAACTTTAGTGAAAAACAATTTCAACAAACGAATTCAAATTTAAAAACAATCAGAACACCAATTTCCAAACACGTGAAAATCACAAGTCAGAGCACGACAAGGAAGAGTCAGAGTCTCAGAGACCCAGAGTTCATAAGATCATAACAAAATGTTTACAAGCATTGTTCCGGTATCACTATCAGGTAAGCCACCATTATATGATAAGGTTCAAATATTTTTAGTCCGTTGAAATGGTCACATTGATTTTGGAGACAACCTTATCAGGTCATTTTTTGTTTACATCTAAGTGCACAATCTGTTTTCATATAATCTGTGGTTTTATATTATAAGACTAGCACCGGTGAAAATCGCTGTAAGTGAATACCCTAGGTCGGTGTAACTCGCTGTATGTGAATACCCTAGGTCGGTGTAACTCGCTGTATGTGAATACCCTAGGTCGGTGAAACTCGCTGTATGTGAATACCCTAGGTCGGTGAAACTCGCTGTAAGTGAATACCCTAGGTCGGTGAAACTCGCTGTATGTGAATACCCTAGGTCGGTAAAACTCGCTGTATGTGAGTACCCTAGGTAGCTGAATATCGTTTGAAGTGAATTTCCTAGGTCGGAGACAGGACTTAAGAATACAGCAGTTAGAAAAGTCTAGTAGGCAAAACCAATGATAACGACGTTTGACATGTTGGTACCTCTGATTTGGTGGCTCTACACTTTGGCGGTGTCGTATTAAATGCGTAAATAATAAAAGTCTAATTCGAGCGTCTAGTGGTCGGTCATTTCATTAAATTCACAGGAGTAATACACCTTGTCCCGTAGCTTGCCCTGTGCTTTTGTGCATGGAAAATAAATAAATACATTCCGAAAAAGTAATTAAGTGTCTAGCTATCAGTCATTACCCGGTGCTTGTCGTTACTTGACTGGGCAATCCGCGTAGCTTGCCCGGTGTTTTTGAATATGGAAAATAAATAAATATACACTCCGAAAGGTTGATCAAGTGTCTAGTTATCAGTCATCGCCCAGCGAATATCGATACCTGACAGGGCAATCCGCCAAAGGCGGATTGTTATACCTCCTGACGTCGAAGGCGTTGTGCTGTTCAGTACGTAAAAAGTCTAAGTCGAATCACCGTTGAAAATCCAGTTGAACGCGTTTAAACCTCCCAGGTAAGCAATCCGACTGCGTCGGATCGCGGACGATGTGGGCGTAAAGGGGAGATTTTTAAATATTATGGAAAGTACACGTCAAACGTTAGCGATTCGAAGATCAAAAAACTACACATATTTAATATTTTTTTTGGTATTTTATAGATAGTATATGTAAGATAAGATATCGAAAAGAAATATGCACTTTCCGTGATAACAAAAATTACAATTATCACAGTAGCTACATTAATATTTAATCAATGGATTATTTATATATATAAGTTCTAAAACAGTAATATTAGATTCCTATCGATCATTAATATTGTATGCGGCCAATAAAAATTAATATATATTTAATTGTTATGTTTTTCTTCTTTCTTTGTAATATAAATACATTTTGAATATTACGTGCAATTCACACAAATATTAAAATTAATTTAAATGTATAGTGTAAAAAATAAGTTAGTCAATGAAGAACACCATATACATGCATAATTAATTAAGTTATTAAACTATCATATTATTAGTTACTTTTGTAATACAGTGATAAAAAACAAATAGTTATGGACACGATATATATTTTGTATAAATGAAAAAAAAATAATAATAAATAATATTATTATAATAATATATAATAAATAATAAGATAATATATGATATAATATAAGATAATAAATTCAATTCACAAATAAATTAAAAAACACTAATGAAATGTCGTAAAATAGCATCAGGTTATCAGGTATAAATAAAAAAAATAAAAATCTATTACAGTAGTAAGTGAATCTACAATAATGACAATTGTATCTGTGAGATGAAAAACTACAAACCTAAAATAACAAAAAATTAATGTTTATTAAATTGTTGTTTGACATTAGTTACAAATTATCCACAAAAATAATTTGCATCCAGAGAGAACCACGTGGAGGTTGTCAAACTTTCTCTCCATTGATTAATATATAAAATCAATCTAAACAAATAATCGAAAAGTGAAGTGTAACGGATCACGAAGGTCCCGTGGTTCACGAAGGTCCCGTGGATCACGAAGGTCCGACATGGATCACATAGATCCGACATGGTATGGTAAACTATAGTGTTTAAGAACACTAACATGTAATAAGTATTGTTGTCTTTCAGCAACAAAAAAGTATCTCTAATAAAAACTTTTTTTGAACAAAGTAAATTATTTTATCAGAAATATTTTCTTCTGTATACATTTTTACCATAACCAATAATTATATTTGAATATAAGCACCAACTCATGTTGCTTAGAGAACTTCTCTGTAGACAATGTTTTTGGTGACAAATCTACCACGATCGTCACCACACATACCAATTTTAATTGATTGCGAGTCTCTCACGCGTGAAAACGCTACGTACAGTTGTCCGTGCGTGAACACTGGTGAAGGTAGAAGCAATCCAACTTTATCAAAAGTTTGACCCTGTGACTTGTTAATGGTCATCGCAAAAGACAGCCGTACGGGGAACTGTACTCGTCGCATTATGACTGGCAGGTCATCTTCTCCACTTGACGTGAGCGGTATTGCAGGTATGACTATGTCTTCCTGTGCATTACCAGACAACATCCTCGCTTTAAAGTTGTATCGTCGCAGTTCAGTGACGACCAACCTCGTGCCGTTGCAAAGTCGCCTCTGTGAATCTAGATTTCTCAGCAACATGACGATCGAACCGACTTTCAGAGTCAAGTTGTACGGTGGCAATCCATCCGGTTCTAGAGTGTTGAGGAATTCTGTAGGATAATTGGCCACTTCGTCGGGGTCGTCGACCACCACAGTGTCGATGGCAGTGTAGCTCCTGTGTGCACCGTTGATGCGTTGAAGCACCGTGCGATTGACTTGTCTGCATTCATCGTTCCTAGGACATAAAATTATTTTCCGAGCAAACTTGTCGACATTAGCCAACGACATTTGCTGCGGAAAAACAAAATTAATTTAATCAGCAACATCACATACCATATCTCGCGGTATTTCAACGGTGTCCGGAACACCGTCGACCGTTGGCAACTGACCACTCCCTAGCTGAAGCAACCAATTCGCAAAATTCACGTCGTTGTCGGCTCGCATGTTTCGTGTCAGATTGAACTGTTCCAATTCGTTCCACAGAGAGTTATACTTGATCGACGACCTGACAATGTCGCTCCTCGTTCCTCTGCGTACAACCGGTAATATCTGTCTGAAGTCGCCGGCGAACAGGACTGGTTTACCGCCAAACGGTAACTCCGATCCCATGACGTCCTTGAGCAACCGATTGACCACCGTGAGTTGTAGTCCCGGAGACATAGGCGCTTCGTCCCAGACGATGAGTGCTGCGTCGCGTATCCTCTGAGCGCGTGACGACTGCATGGTGATGGACGACGTCGAATCGTCCGTGAGCGTGCCGAACGGCAATCCGAACGTCGAGTGCACAGTCATGCCGCCGTCAATGAGCGACGCTGCGATTCCTGTGAATGCCACGGACAACACGTAACGCCCTTGGCTGCGAAGCGACCATATCAGGCATCCGTAAAGCGTCGTTTTCCCAGTTCCTCCAGGTCCGTCGACGTAGAAAAGTTTTGAGACGTTTCTGTTGTCGTCTACGGCCGCCATCACACGTTCAAACACTGTCCGTTGTTCGTCGTTTAAGTTGTCTAATTGTTGAGCCCAGCGTATAGCCGCGTCTATTTGACCAAACATGCCGTCATCCGGATCCTCTTCCAACAGTGCGACGTCCGGCAGAGGCAAACCGTAGTCCGTGAGTGATTTCCCGTGACCCCGAAGTAATCGATCGATAGCGTCTAGACATGCCGCCCTCGCGCGGTCTACGTCACGCACCCGTTGATTGAAGTCCTCCATCATGTGTGCTTCGTGAGTTTGGTACAACGCCAACGAGTTTGCGGTTTCACAAAACAATAGCATCGTAACGAACAGGTAACGAAGCTGAGATGGAGGGTCCAACGTTGCCGATTCAGCCATGCATGCCAGCAAAGCTCTGTCGTCTTCCAACAGTCCCATCGCGACTGCTGCAGCCGCGTAGGTTGGATGCTGCACTCCGTCTACTGTCCTCACATCACGGTATGACTGCGGGCCTCTCTTGTGTAGAAGTAGTAGTCGCAAGTGAAAACGTTCTCGATCAAGTGGGTTGACGACGTACATTCGAGCCAGCGTCTCGTACGTCATCTGTATTCGCCGTCGTCACCATGTTCTTCGCGTTGCGTTCCAAGTGTAATGTATCGGTATCTCTTGGTACAGGTACTGTCTGGCCTCGACGTCTGTCGCGTTAAGCGCAAAGAAGGCCGTGAGTTTTGTTCGAGCTAGAGCAGCATTTTGTGCCCTTTCCAGTGCCTGATTTGGGGCAAAGTACACGTTGTGATAATCTTCTAAGTGTACTGGAAGTCTGACGATCGTATGACTCTTGTTATGCATTTCATACGAAAACAACCTCCAAACCGCTTCTGGTGGACTGACGTACCGTGAATTTATGTAACTGAAATCAACATGTATTCACAATATATTTTATGATTGAAAATTATAAAAAAAAGGTTATTTGTTAAATTCAAGTCAAAATAAATAGAACATAATGTGTGTTGTTTATAAATCTAAAAAAAAAATACTAAAATAAAATAACTATACAGTATATATATGGATGTATATGACATGGTGTGCAATGTTATTAATTTAGCAATAAATATTGTATGTAGTGGTGTTCTTTATTAAGATTATATTATTTCAAAGTGATGTACAATATTAATGCCCTATAATATCTCCTTATACATTTTGTAAAAGAAAAAAAGAGATTAATACATAATAAAATATGACTTAAGAAATTTAATTAAGATTTATTTTAAACACATGTGAAAATTTAATAGAAAAAAAGTAATGTGTATTGTTGTGCATTCTTATAATACAACTTATAATAAATTTTACAATATAATCCATCCAAATAATATAAGCTGTAATGTACAGTATGAATCGTTAGGTGTTTGTGCTCGATAATCTCAAGTTATCAAATAACAATATATATTTTTAATGAATTGCATTTGTACTATATTTTTGTGTATCTATATATCAATCGATTAAATGAAGTATGATCATTACGAACGAAGTTGTAGCAGTTTATGATAAGTTTAAATGTCAGTGTTGATACAATTGTAATTAAATATATTGGCATAGTCTTAAAAGTAAAAATATTGTATAAGTGGTATGTAAAAAAAAAAAAAATTAACTGAACAACTCACTTTTCTATTTCATTTCCATTCCAAACTTCCACGGTAGCCGCGTCATGTCCCTTGTACACATATTTGTATAGATACATTACGCTCTTCACTGTAGAGCATACCTCAACGTTGATGTGCGCATCATACTTGATCAGCAAGTAAGGGTTGTATGGCACAACAAACTCATTTCCTACTCGGTGACCTCTGACGTTAGCCTCAAGTCCGTTATTTGGTCTGCGGTAAGTCGGGTAACCGCTGTCGGAAATGTACAAAGTCTCTTCGCTGTACTCTTTTGGGTAGTTTTTTGAGCAACTGTTGTCCACCATACACGGACTGTTATGGTTAAGCTGTCCACACGGTCCATGAATCATGTGTGATGTCACACTGTTGAATAGGCGTCTGTCAGTTGCCGGGTCTGGTAAGCAGGCACATACCACATCGTCAACGTCGTCGGCAGTATGCAACATACTGTCTTCTTGCAAGATAATGAGTATGTGGGCGTGCGGAAGACCTCGTTTCTGAAACTCAATAGTATAAACGTAAGCATCAACATTACCAAACACCTTAGTAACTGTTATATCACGCATTAGCTCCTTAAGTTTTGCATGGAACACCCTTGCCACCAAATCTGGCCTGTCGTTAGCTTTCAACCAATTTGGAATGTTGTCAACAATCTCTGGCCACTTAGGGTTACATGTGAACGTTATGAACAGGTCAGGTTTACCGTACTTACGCACAATGGCCATCGCGTCATGGTAACATTGTTTCATGTAACGGGGGCCGCCTACAAACGTTGATGGCAAAATCATCCTACGACCAACAGGATCGATTTCATCTACATGAAGTTGTTGGTTTATGTGGTCCACAAGCCCCTGATACGCTTCGGCAAACAGCGTCCTTTGATTGTCTCTAGTGTAGCGTAAATTATTCGCTTCCATCCGAACGTACTGATCACACACGTACTGCTGTAACAAAAAACCACCGGCATGCAATAAACTTAATGTTTGGCCGTCATTCCCATTTCC